TATATATATATATATCATCTTTGCCTTTGTTTTTTGTGTTTTTGCACCATAAATGTTGCGTTTTTAATAGAGTCTGGCTAATAGTTTGAGTTTTAAAATGCTTAAAATCAAGAAAGAAAGTTGACTGATCCACATGATAAAATCGGTCTGTAAAACAAGCAATAAATGATTTAATCTACCTTTAAAGTCTTGTTAATTGCATATAGCCAAACGTTTGGTTGTGTTTTAGATATATACATGCATTCAAACTGAACTTTCATTTGTTTCTTCCAGCTCCATGTGGAAGCCGGTCGACGGGTTCAGAGGGCACGATTTTGTCTCCAAACTACCCTCACAACTACACCACGGGCCAGTCCTGTGTGTATGAGATCTCCGTGCCAGGAGAGTTCGGTAAGAAATACACTTTCAACCTGACCGCAAATAAACGTCAAGGCTTATTAATAGTAGAGTATGCGCTGCTATTGTACAGAACATACAAGTGCCGCTGTGAAAAGAACCCTTTTAGTGAGGAAGAAAGAAAAAACGGAAATTGAGGGGAACTGTTCCTTCTTTACATTTCTGAGACTTGCAGTTCCTGTAATTGAATAGCCACAAATGAAATGTGCATTTGTGTACGTTTCTGCAACAATGCCAGAAATGCTTTAGCTTTAATATGTTTCTAAAATCAAAATCCAGCAACTTTTTGCAGACCGCCTCTTGAGTCGTTTTGCCGAACATCAGGGGCATCAGTACAGCCCAGCAGGATCAGGACTTCTGAAATGGTTTGGACTTTAAGTCTGTAGGGTAACTGAGATCATGTTTGGAGCTTAAATCCTCACATCAGAGCCTTATTTATCAGAGCCTCATATTTTATGCATGTACACACTGTATTTATTTAGTTTTTGCTTGTAACAAGCGACATCGACTGTGCACAGCAAGGTGCCAAACCATCCAGGAACAAAGGAAAATGCTTTAGTGACCTTACATGAACTGCAGAAACTTAAACTCTCAAGACTACAGAGCTTTAACTGTGATTGTTTTTGTTGTTCATAGTATTCTGTAGCTGTGGGCCACCACAAATGACACTTGTACTCCGACTAGCCTGTGAAAAGTTCAGGATTGAAATAAAACAATGAGATGAGACACAATTAATCAGAATCTTCAAGTGCAGCTTTTTTTTGTGTGTGTGTGTGTGTGTGTGTGAGACTCTAAAGTTGCTGAAGTTAGACAGCCCATGTTTCCATTGTGATGTATGAGACTGTCTACTGTGGTGTCCACAAGTCTGCCTGCTTAAAAAATGTGAGATGTTTTCATGTAAACCTGGATATAAATGCAAATGCAAAAGAGTAAAAAAGGGGGTATTTGTGAGATAAAGTAAGATAAATAACAATTATGAGATAATCATTAATAATTATGAGATATGAAATCACTAATTTTGCCACATCTACAATGTTATTGAAGTATTGATATTAAAATCAACATTAAACTAACTTGAACTGAATAACTATTGTCTTCTGTAGAGCTGCTTATACTTTAGCTGAATTGAACTAATTTCATTACTTATTAACTTTGCAACATTGACAGCTATTGAACTCAATTGAAACAACTCTTAACTAAATTGAGCTGAATAATAACGATATTGTCATGTGTAGAGCTGCTTTGTCTAAAATTGTTTTGTTTTTTCAAAATCGATTAATTTTACAACACTAACATTGTTATTTTCCTGTTTATTATTGTGAAGCAGCTTTGAACCGATTTTTTAATATTCGTTCAAACTTCCATTGAAGAGTTATGACATTAAAGAAATATTTCTGCACTTTTTTTATATTTTTATATGAATGTAGTGATTGTTATTTTCCTGTTTATTACTGTGAAGTCTTAAATGTTGTGATCAAGTGTCTCTTTTGTACAGATGGTGATATTTTCTTGCTTCAGTGGAAGCAAAACTTTTTTGGACTTTTGACATTTGACTAATTGTTATGCAGATAATATACTTTATAATCATATTATTTATTATTATAATATTGCATTTTATATAATTACAATCATATATTTTATTTATTATAATATACATTATAATCATATATTATTTTATAATCATATTTAAAAAAATGAAAGCATTTTGCATTACAACTAGTTGTCTCAGACTTTTTGGATGCCACAGCAATAGTTTGATGCACTTGTTTTTTAATGACATGGCTATTGCATTTAAGGCTGTTTTTGACTCTTTGTTTGATAGTTTGGTCTGTAGCTGAGTTAGATGTTGCTCGTCATACTGTAATAATATTTGATTCTGAACCACGTTACGATTTCATCATCAATGTACGTACAGCTGGGAATTCTAGCGGCAGCTGTTTACCACTGTAGCAAGGGACTGTGAGAAGATGATGCCAGTTTGCCGTTTTATTCTTTTTTTTTGCTACCAAAACTTAAGATGCACAGACAAACGGTCTGTTTGCCCCTGATGCATTGCAATAAAATGCACTGAATGTGAGCTTCTAAAGGTAACTTCAGTGACGAGTGGCAATGAGAAATGCTTTATTTTATAATTGGCAAACACAGTATATATATTGCATTTTTTTACTTCTTTCATATCAGTTTCAAACCTTACATGAACTGTTCGAGAAGACACGAGTTTGCGGCAAAAACTTTAGTGTGAAAAGACACATCCTAAAATTAATTTGGCTTAACAGGAATTTGAATATCCTGTCTTTCATGTGTTTTATCAATTTCAAACCATCTCAGTTTGCAGAAGTTGATATTAATAAGTCTGTTTTAACTTGACTAAATATTTTCCTGTGAATGCTTGTAAAATTAGGGAACCATGCCGTGGGGCGTCTTACTTGATTATGAAAGTGTTCCGTTTAAATGTAACTGTGTAGGAAGAGAGACACAGAATAGAGAAAAGAGAACACCAACCACTGAAGGTCGTCTTAAAATATCACATCAAACAGGACTTGAAATTCTCAACTCTTCAAAAAAAAAAAAAAAAACTCTCATCTCAGAATTTTAGACTTTTCATCTTCAGATTCGAAATAGAACATGGTCAGTGACTTTCACTGTTGTATTTTAAGACTCTGAAAAGGACAGTGCCTTGTATATTTTTGTACAAATACTTTATGCAAATAATTCCAATGCAATCGACTTGAATCCGAAAAAATGGCAAAACTTGTCATCTTTCGAAGAGGCTAGTATTCGGTCAGCAGAACTTTGGGTTCATGAACTGCAACAGAATGAAGAGGTGAGAATCAACAGTTTCAGAGTTGTGCTTATAGAAATTCATAGATTTGTTCTTCTGGCTGACTTTTGTGTTTATCGGTAAGGGTGTTTTTCAGTGTCTTAACCCGACACGTTTGCAGTGACAAGCAGCAGTTTGTCTTTCCACTGAAAATGCAGCTTGATGTGAAACAATCACAGCCAATCAGAATATATTTGATGAACATATTTAAAGTGGGCGGTACTTGTCGACACATTGTCAAAGAAAGAGGAACCAAGTGATTGACAAAATGTCCCGCCATCATGTGTGCGTCACTTTATCGATGTTGCATGGTTAAATATACACTACTGTTTAAAATTTTGGGGTCTTTTATTTATTTATAATTTTATTCCGCAGGGAGGTATTAAATTAATCAAAAATGACAATAAAGACATTTACAATGTTACAAAAAAACCTAAATCTATTGTAGTACGTGTGACACTGAAGACTGGAGTAATGGCTGCTGAAATTAAAGTAAAAGTAAAAGTAAAGTAAAATACATTTTTGAATATATTTAAATAGAAAATAATTATAATAATATTTCACAATACTACTGATTTTGGTCAAATAAATGGTCATTTTCTTTCAAAAGGATTAAAGAATCAAACCGATCCCACCTTTATGTATATTCTTGGTCTTCTTTTCTAGTCAAAATAATTTCAAAATGTTTACTTTTATAGCCTATGGGTTGCCAGGTTAATTTTGAATGACTTCCAAAGATAGATAAACAAATAAATAAATGCCTTGCCACTTTTCACAATCTAATCAGTTCCTCATCAAGCTTCTCTTTGTGTTAAATCCTTGTAAATGTGTTATGGAAGTAAAATGTTTCATGTTGCCTAAAAGAAAACTCATCACCAAAGCCTCCATTAAGTTTTTTTTTTGTCATGTTGGAGATCAATAAGGCGTCGGTGCACCAACTTGGCAATATTTTAGCCTCCGAACAGAACTGTCGGAAGAATTTATTTATCATTTAAGCTTGTCAATTATACAGGACCTTTTGAACGGAATAATAAGGCAGTTCTCTGATTCTATGTCCAACTTTTAATCTTTAATTATTCTGTCACAAATAATAAATCCAGACATTTTTTAATAGCATCTGTCTTTTGAGAGGAAAACTGAATTATTCACAGCTGCCAAACGAGCGCCTTAGGCATGAATTGTACATATTAGACTCCAGCGTGCATGTTTATAGAAAGTTGTCGACCAACCGTACATTGTGCATCTGGGCAGTACGGCAGAAAATCTGTTCCCATTGTACTGGAGTCCCTTAGCATTTTCAGCGTATCAGAAATCTTGGCAGCGTCGTGAGAGCTACTAGGCCAACATTAGGGACTCTATTAGATTTATGTAGACAGCTTCGTGTTTCATGCAGTGCCCGGGTCTTTTTATGCCAATCACAATGTCTTCGATGTATTAGCTCACGCTAATCCCAACTTGCTCCCTGTCAACAGTCCAAATTCACACCCCCCTTAAAGTCAAGTCAAGTCAAGTCACCTTTATTTATATAGCGCTTTTAACAATACAGATTGTGTCAAAGCAACTGAACAGCATTAATTAGGAAAATAGTGTCAATAATGCAAAGTGACAATAGTAAACACACATTTTTCAGTTAAAGACAGTTCATCATTGAATTCAGTGATGTCAACATCCAGCTCAGTTTAAATAATATCTTTGCAATTATGTCAACGATATTGCCGGAAATGAAGTGTCCCCAACTAAGCAAGCCAGAGGCGACAGCGGCAAGGAACCAAAACTCCATCGGTGACAGAATGGAGAAAAAACCTTGGGAGAAACCAGGCTCAGTCGGGGGGCCAGTTCTCCTCTGACCAGACGAACCAGCAGTACGGAAAAATCAATTTAAGACGTAATAAAACAGACGAACAATATTAACAGCAATTATTATATGATGCAATCAAACTTATAGCAAAATGTGGTAGTTCTGTATGTTGTTTCATGGTTGGCATCATCTGAGGTCCTCTGAGGGGTGGCATCATCTCTTCTCAGGTGTTCTGGATCCAGACTGAAGCTTGTGTAAATCCTAGTTACCACGGGATGTCAAATACAAATAGAGAAACAAATACAAACATAATTAGCGTAGCTGCTGTTCCAACCAAGCAAAAATGATTTGTTTAACCCAAACTAACGAATAATA